GAATCCAGGGCCTCATGTATGCGAGGTAAGCACTCTACCACTGAGCCACTTTCCTGTCCCCAAAAATGTTTTTGATTTGAAATAAATAGCAATTGTGAAGCCAGGTACAGGTGGCTCATGCATGTAAGTCTAGCTACTCAGGAGGCTGAGATCTGAGGATTGTGGTTCAAAGCCAGCCTAGGCAGGAAAGTCCACGAGACTCTTGTCTCCAATAAACCACTCAGAAAACCAGAAGTAGCACTGTGGCTCAAGTGGTAGAGCACTCGCCTTGAGCTAAAGAGCTGAGGACAGCACCCAGGCACAGAATTCAAGCCCCACAACTGACCAAAAAAGCAATTATGTCCGATGTTGCTAGAACAATGTATAGTGCATCAGTGGAATACTCTGTTATTTTATTTATTTTTTGGTCCAGTCGTGGGGCCTGAACTCTGGGCCTAGGCAAGTCCCTCAGCTCTTCAGCTCAAGGCTAGCACTCTACCATTTGAGCCACAGCGCCACTTCCGGTTTTTTTTTAATTCTGCTTATGTGGTACTGAGGAATCAGAACCCAGGCCTCATGCATGCAAGGCAAGCGCTCTACCACTGAGCCACCTTCCCAGCCCCACTTTGTCATTTTAGAATAACATAGTAGCAGTGTCGATTATACCACTTACCACTAGAATCAAAATTTAGGAAGTCTGAGAATTCCTGAGCCAATGTCTCATCACTGGCAAAGGCACAGATGCAGGCAAAGAAATGAATGCATCTCTGGGCTGCCTCATCCTTAGAGGCACTTGACTTGTGTGATTTCAGAGTCTGGCAAGAGCAGAAGAAGCGGCGCTCTGGCAAACTTCTGGCACTGATTTTCTGCACAAAAGATGTATGCAAATATCCCAAGCTATGCTTCTGGCTTGCCTTGCATTTTACTACCAAGATGTTCTTAGTAATCCTCTGTACCAGGGGACCTGTGGGTTCGGTGGCCAACTGCCAGATGGTCTGTTTGGTTTCTGGGGAGGCCTGCATAGCGTTGAGGACTGAACTCTTCAGGGTCAGAGGGGTGGCCTCTGCCTGGCAGTTCACTGCCAGCTTGATGTGCTGGCACTGGTTTTCCACAACACCCTGAGTGGCAGCTTTTAAACATGAGGGGACATAACACCGTCCAGAGCTCAGCTGAGTGATGATTGTCCCATCCACTGTTTGGATTGTTGTCTCTGAAACACCTAGCTCCACAAAACATCGGTAATCAGGGCCCCGGTCCCTTTGCCGCACAGAGTAGACCTGCAGATCAGAGCCTGTGATGATTTTGACAGCTTCCACACTTGGCTGCTTTCGTGCACCATAGCGAAATATAGTTCCACATGTCTTGTTCTTACAGCTCAGGCCTCGGGTCCCATTGTATGTTCCACATCGGGGACACTTTCTGATTCCCCTCAATGTGGCCTTCCCCAAGTCAGATAAGAAAGCTGGGACTTTAGTTCTCACAGAGTTTGGTTCCATTTTTCACAGGCCCTAGAAAGACAAGGCCATTGGCATGAGTAAACATTCACATATACAAAAAGCAAAAACTTTTCATGGTATTTACAAAGCAAAATGAAAGAGGCAAATCATACCACAAAGCAATATAAATCATTGAATACAATAAAATGGAAGAAATTTTGCTCTTCATATTGTGTGTGTGTGTGTGTGTATGCATGTGTGTGTTGGTCCTGGGGCTTGAACTCAGTATCTAGGCATACTCACAGAGCGTTTGTGTTTAAGTCTATTGCTCTACCACTTTGAGCCACAGCATCATTTCCAGGTTTTTTGTAGTTTAGTTAAGTGGAGATAAGAGTCTCACAGCCGGAAAAAAAAAAAAAAAAAGATTCTCACAGCCGGGCACTGGTGATTCACGCCTGAAATCCTAGCTATTTAGGAGGTTGAGATCTGAGGATCCCAGTTCAAAGCCAGCCTGGGCAGGAAAGGCCATGAAACTCTCATCTCCAATTAACCACCAGAAAACCAGAAATGGTGCTGTGGCTCAAGTGGTAGAGCGCTCTCCTTGAGTTGAAGAGCTCAGGGACAGTGCCCCAGGCCCAGAGTTCAAGCCCCATGACCAACCAAAAAAAAAAAAAAAGTCTCACAGACTTTTCTGCCTGGGCTGGCTCTGAACTGCAATCTTCAGATTTCAGCCTTCTGAATAGTTAGGGTTACAGGCATCAGTCACCTCTGTACATTAAAAAAAATACTATTTTATTAATCAAAGTACTTCCAAGTATTTCTCTATACTCTATCTGTTCTATATAATGACCAAAGTTACTTAATCAAATATATATTTTTATTTTTTTATTTTATTTTTTTACTGGTCATGGAGCTTGAACTCTGGGCCTGGGCACTGTTCTGAGCTTTTCAGCTCACAGCTAGTGCTCTACCACTTGAGCCATAGCACCCACTTCCAGCTTTTTCTGTGTATGTGGTGTTGAGGAATCGAACTCAGGGCCCTGAGCCACCTTCCAAGCCCTATATTTTTATTTTTTGCCAGTCCTGAGCCTTGAACTCTGGGCCTGGGGCATGGTCCCTGAGCTCCTTTTGCTCACAGCTAACTCTACCACTTGAGCCACAGTACCACTTCTAGCTTTTTCTGTGATTAATTGGAGCTAAGAGTCTCACAGACTTTCCCGACCAGGCTGGTTTGGAACTGTGTGATCCTCAGATCCCAGCCTCCTAAGTAGCTAGGATTACAGGCATGAGCCACTGGAACCTGGTGAATGTTTTTGGAAATTTTTTTAAGGATTTTAGTATAACAAGGTTAAAGTAGGGAGAAATATGAAAAAGAGAAACCTTATCTGCTCCTCATGCAAGAATGGGAGTTAAAGCTTCAAAGTGGTCAGCCAGGCCTAATTACTCAGAAAGCTGAGATCTGAGGGTCATGGTTCAAAGCTAGCCTGGGCAGGAAAGTCCATGAGACTCATCTCCAAGTAACCACCAAAAAGCTGAAATATGGTTTGGGTTAAGTGGCAGAAGGCCAGCCTTGAGCAAAAAAGCCAAATGAGGGCTAGGGAATGTGGCTTAGTGGTAGGGTGCTTGCCTAGCATGCATGAAGCCCTGGGTTCGATTCCTCAGCACCACATAACAGAGAAAGCTGGAAGTGGTGCTGTGGCTCTAGTGATAGAGTGCTAACCTTGGGCAAAAGAATCTCAGGGACAGTGCTCAGGCTCTGAGTTCAAGCGCCAGGCCTCCTCTGCCACCCCCCCCCCGGAAAAAAAAAAAAAGCCAAATGAGAGCTTGAGGCTATGAGTTCAAGTACCATTACCATCACAAAAAACAAAAGAGTTAGAATGCGGTTTTTTTTTCTTTTTTTGAAGGTCATGGGACCTGAACTCTGGGCCTGGGCGCTGTCCCTGTGCTCTTCAGCTCAAGGCTAGCGCTCTACCACTTGAACTACAGCTCTAAATCCAGTTTTCTGGTGGTTAATTGGAGATAAGAGTCTCATGGCCTTTCCTGCCCGGTCTGGCTTTGAACTGCGATCCTCAGATCTCAGCTTCCTGAGTAGCTAGGATTACAAGTGTGAGCCACCAGCGCCCAGCTAGGACTTCCTTCATCCAGACATTCCTTTCCTTCTTTCAGTCTCTACCTACTCATAAAGAGTTCTCAGATTTTTACCATTTCAAAAAAAGTAGATTTAGAAAGCGCCTATGTCTCTAATCGTACGTGTTAACAAGATACACAGATATTTTAATTTCATTAAAGACTGGAGAGGATGGAAGGTGGGTTCTTTCCCTTTCACCATTTCCCACAAAACCCAGATCCTACCTGTACCAGCTGCCAGGGCATCTGGAGAACAGTATAACCTGAATTTGTAAGACCTAAATATGACGATCAGAAAGGATAGGTAAAGGCAGGATCACTTGCAGAGTAAATGATATTACTTAGCCCAAAGGCTTCAGAAGATTGAACTCTATGGTGTAACAATGTAGACATTCTGTCTCCTCCTTCTTGACCAGCCAATGGCAAAGCTCCTGACCAATGTTCCACAATCTAGGATTCCCACTCCCCTAAATGGAGATCTTGGCAGTCTATAAGTAAATAAGAAAATAATATTAAAGTTATATATAGATAGGATGATTCTTTCTGAGTAATCAGATAGAACAGGGCCTGGGATACACCATACATAGTATATATGAGGTCCTGAGTTCAGTCCTCAGCACCAAACAAAAACAACAACCACAAACCAACAAAAAACAAAACTCCACAGACTAACACATAAAATCTTATTCTTTTTTTTTTTTTTT